GATTACAAAGTCTCTACTAAAACTAGCATTACGAAAGTGACAACGAGTATTCGTTGGCATCACAGAACGGTGATACAAGCTGCAATAAGTTTCAGTGTAGCGAATGAATCCAGTACAAGCTGCTATGATGCTCCGGAGAAGCACATCCATTTTGTTCAATCAAAGCTATTCGAGAGAGGTCAGATTGTGATCTATGGACTTAATCTATGGTTATTTCGGAGACGTTGCGCATGTTGCGCGATTTGATGTCTGTAACATCAAATGAACACTCATATACCCATAGTCTAGGTTCATTGTTATGAAGTGGGATCCGTCCAGCGAGGGTGATTTATCTCGTATACCGAGAGCTGCTCTACCCTTGCTACTTGGGCATTTACATAGTCTAAGATAGGCACATAGTATGGGCAAACTCGATGTCGTCCGTAGCAAAAAACACTGTAAATGCAACCCCAGGAATGCCGTTGTTCCCATCTCCTGTGGTGTCGTGAGGGGACCTCCCCGAGGATCAAATGGTGCTCTCTCATGTTCATTTATAAGAGCAGGTTCTGCCTTCACGTAAGTTACGGCTGTTGTCTGTGCAGCATAGACTTTGAAGGTGTCATTTCACAACGCACAAGTTCAACTTTTGGCATCATGGTGTGAGGTGTCATGTTAGAAAGTTGGCTCGTTTTTGATTGTTTGTGAAGGAAACGTTGAACGGCGTCATCTCTGTCAAGAAAATTGTGCTGCAGTTGTATCCTGCAATAGTAAGGGGATGAAGCCTGTGCTTCTCAACATGATCTGTAATCTTCTCAACAATTACCCTGGCTAGCGCGATTGCTAGATCTGTTGTCAATTTTAACACATATGAAATATGATGGGTGGATGCCTGACTTGTTCTCAAAAGAAAGTTATGGTCAAGGGATGTAAAGATGAATCGTTTATTATATGTAATGGAATGTTATGCTATAACGAGCATATGGTTGTTATGACATGTCATATTATTTAAAATGTTTAGGTGATTACCTTTCTAACACCATATATATATATATATATATATATATATATATATATATATATATATATATATATATCCCGTCGATTTCGACGTATGAGGATCTGACAGCTTATTGATTCAGTTATGAAATTTTATGCGATAATCTTAAGTGGCATTTAAGACCCGCTAGTGATTTACAAAGGAGGCCACAGTGATTTACAAAGGAGCAAGTGTGAAGATTGTGAGATGAGATCACTGTTAGATTGGCTGAGATCTTGCTCTCGCTTCTTGAAGATGATTCAGACAAGCAGATTGAAAATTGCTGAGTCCACTAAAACACGTTGATCTCCATTCTACCCGCTCCAAGGCTAAGCGCTCAAGGGTGTTATGTGGTATATTGACTGCTGACAAGTTGTTTTTCAGCTTGTCTTTGTATCTTAGCCATAGGCGTCCTACATTCCTGTAGCCCTGATCTAACTGGCTGTACATTAGGATCTTGGGTATCCTGTCATCAGACATTCTCAAGGCATGACCAGTCCACCGTAACTGAGACTGTATGATAAAAGTCTCGATTCCTCCAATATTACACCTGTTAAACAGGTCTACGTTAGATGTCCTATCTTGAAGCTTAACTCCACGGATTGCACGCAGACAGCTTTTATGGAAAACATCTAGCAGGCGTATTTGGTACCTGTATGGAGTCCACGACTCTGAGCCATACAAAAGGATGGCAAGTACAACAGCTCTGTAAACCCGAATTTTCGTATCCAGTCGAATGCCCCGCTCATTCCACAAGTGATGGCGAAGTTTGCCGAAAGCACTGGTAGCCTTAGCAATCCGATGCATGATTTCATCATCTAAAGTTCCACTGTAATTGACTTTGCTACCAAGATAGGTGAAAGACTTTACATAGTTCAGGGGTTTGTCTTCTACTTTCAATGGTCTCTCTGGAAATTTGTAGACTGGTGGTTTTTTTTTATATATATATATATATATATATATATATATATATATATATATATATATATATATGTATGTATTAATGTGGATAAATGAAATAACTAGATACTAGTAACAGTATATACGCGCGTTAGCGTGCATACACAGGTAAGCGAATAAATATTTACTCAGTTTAATATAAGGTGTAAACAAAACAGTGCTCAATGTGGTTAGACAGAGCTAAGAAGTATATATTAATAAATATACATATACCTACGTTCGAAGCGCAAATTAAAGGTTCGTTGTTCTACCAACTCATCAGGCATAAATTATTACTTTTTATTTAATATATATATATATATATATATATATATATATACTGGTTCTCATGGGAGATTTATTATAAATTTATTATAAATTTTATTTTGGTTCCACAGCTAGAAACTGGGAAACAAGACTTTATCATCATAAAATTACTCTTAAGTCACTCTCAAAATTTTACTAGAATATTAAAACAGATGACTATACACCGGTAGTAAATTGGAATTTCGTCGCCAAAACTACACCCTTTGCCGGCCACGGCGACCGATGCGACTTGTGTTTGCTGGAAAAAAGATTAATCCTCAAAAATGTTAATGACCGAAATCTACTTAATAAACGAAATGAACTAATGTTAGCTTGTAATTACAGAAAAAACATTTCTCTTAAAATATTTTAATTCTGGATAAATATATTATCCAAATATCACACGCACTTCCCATATTTTAGGTCATATATTGATTACCCCCACTTTAAGCATTTTAATATCTATTATTACTTAACGAGTATCCCGGCTTTCCTTTTTTAAACTTTGAGCTTGCCTTTTTTTTTTTTTTGTTTACAATAGCTCCCTACCTACACTCTACATTCTGTATGTACACCCCAATATTATATTCAGTTTATATTAAATTTGAGCTTTGAATATGTGTTTAATTTAGCGTTCTTCCCATGTGACCAAGTATATATATTTTTAAAAATAAAACATAATAATTATATATATATATATATATATATATATATATATATATATATATATATATATTTTTTTTTTCAACATTTTTACATTTTTCTGTTTGGTGGGAGTAAGGGAGTACAAAATTGTCCCTATCGTCCATTATTTTAAGCGCTTTTAGACACTTTTTTAGCCATTTTCAAAGGTGATTTTTTTTAAGTGTTAATTTCTCTTCGTGTTTGTCTGTTTAAGATGTAATTCTGGTGCGAATGACAAGCAGTATAACATAAATTATATAAAAATTGTCCGAATGTTTTCCAAGAGCTTTCGACTTTACTTTAAGCCATTATCAAGGTTGATTTTTATTTTACTTTTAAATTTGGTAGGGTATAACGTATGCGTCAACTAACTAAGGAACAAGCAGAATTATAATATGATATAAAAATGTTTATTGTGGAATTTCTTTCAAACTTTTACTATAGGACCCAGTAATATTCACATTTAATAATTAAACTAGTTAGCGTGTAAAGATTCCAAATGTTGACTGACCATGTCCTGTTGCAAAGTTTTGTTTTTATCTATTTTGCGGTTGATACAACTTCAATGTATTTTTTTTCACTTTACGCAGATCAACAGTGATTGAATGAAAAGCCACACATAAAGAGAATCAACACACACACACACACACACACACACACACACACACACACACACACACACACACACACACACACACACACACATTTAAACAATAGAAAATTCCAGGAAAAAAAGCGTTCAAAACCTAAACAAAAATAAGAATTAATATTTACGGACGTAATAAAGAATAAGAAATCAAGTAGATAGAAAAAGCAAATTTTCATTCAATCGCTGTTGGTCTGAGTAAAGTGAAAAAAAAACAAAACATTATTGCCACCAATCTAGTATTAGTACATTTATTTACAATAAATTTATGTGAAAAAGAAAAGGTGTAAAAGCTTGATGAAAATATTCTTTTGATCGCTTAATAAAATTAAAAAAAAAAGTTTGGAGCAGTGTCTAAGACAGTGGTTCCCAACCTTTTTTTCGGAAACTCTAAAATTCTGGTGCCCTCCACTCGCCACCTCATGACATATTCTTATTATTCAAAAAGTGAACTTCTATTCACGAGGACGAAGAAACTTAAGAACCCGAGACTGCATATATACAATACTATTATCATTTAATTTTAGAAATTTACAATATTTATAAAAAATATTGTGTTACTAATATAAATATAAAAGATTGTGTCTATATCTGTATGTTTGTACAACGATCGAGCTCACGTCATTTTATGAAGAAAAATTGGTGGAGACCAGTAAACACCAAACTGCAATAAAATCCACACCCTGTTTTTGTTTGAGAGGGGGTTAAAAAAAACTTTTTAGTCCTCATTTTCCACAAGAAAACTACATGTGAATACGAAATAATAATAATAACTTCCTTTATCCACTCCTTTCAAATTCGGGCGAGCTGAGGAAAAAGATGGAAAGAAATTCGCGAGCCTGTGTGAAATTTTCATTGGACCAATGGAAACTTTGAGTTCAAATAGACTGACCGGCGAGCTAAAGAAAAAGACAAAACAAATTCGCGAGCCTATGTGAAATTTTCTTTGGACCAATGAAAACGTTATTTTTACAGGAATTGGCCGTTGAAAAAGAAAGAAAAAGAATTAGTCTAGAAAAAGAAAGAAAAAAAAATAGCAATCCTATGTGAAATGCTTTTTGATATAAAATAAGGAGAAAACATTTATATCAACACGAGAAGAGCGTCTGAAGTCAGGTGAAATGTTTCATTTTTATTCACGTGTCCAGCGTTCACATTTTTGTCGGTGTCAAATTATTCGCTGATTATGTTATCGGCCTTAATGGAGTGCTTGGCATTTCAAAGAACTTTATTTCAGCTGTCCAAGAAAGCTAAGTATTCCTTGTCATTGCCATCCATCAATAACCTTCTTGGCGTGGGTAAACCAACTGTTAATTTTAACCTCGAAGCCCCATGCCACTATAGAACATTATCAAACAAGATTTTTAGCACATCAAGAGAAAGCGAATGCAAAGGGTTCTTCAAGGAGGGCTATGGAGGATACCGGTAGACAGAGAGAAACATATTTGCAGCCCTAAAGTGCACGAAACATCGGGCAGTTGAAACATCAGAACAAAGGGAAGAAAGACTGCAAGCCGAAAGAACCAGGAGTGTTGCAGAAGATCAGAGACCAGAAAGGCTTCGACAGTAAAGAGCTAGAAACTCCTGAGCAGAGACAGGAAAGACTTCTGGTAGCCAGAGTTATGTCTGCTGCTCAGAAAGCAGCTGAGACTCTTGAACAAAGACATGAAAGGCTGCTAGATCAGAGAGGGCTGCTAGCAGCGCAGTTGAGCCTCCCGAGCAGAGAGATGAAAGACTGCAGGCTAATAGAGCTAGGTCTGCTGCTAGCAGCGCAGTTGAGCCTCCCGAGCAGAGAGATGAAAGACTGCAGGCTAATAGAGCTAGGTCTGCTGCTAGCAGGGCAGTTGAGCCTCCCGAGCAGAGAGATGAAAGACTGCAGGCTAATAGAGCTAGGTCTGCTGCTAGCAGGGCAGTTGAGCCTCCCGAGCAGAGAGATGAAAGACTGCAGGCTAATAGAGCTAGGTCTGCTGCTAGCAGAGCAGTAGAGACACCCGAGCAGAGAGATAAAAGACTGCAGGCTAATAGAGCTAGGTCTGCTGCTAGCAGGGCAGTTGAGCCTCCCGAGCAGAGAGATGAAAGACTGCAGGCTAATAGAGCTAGGTCTGCTGCTAGCAGGGCAGTTGAGACTCACGAGCAGAGAGATGAAAGACTGCAGGCTAATAGAGCTAGGTCTGCTGCTAGCAGGGCAGTTGAGACTCACGAGCAGAGAGATGAAAGACTGCAGGCTAATAGAGCTAGGCCTGCTGCTAGCAGGGCAGTTGAGCCTCCCGAGCAGAGAGATGAAAGACTGCAGGCTAATAGAGCTAGGTCTGCTGCTAGCAGGGCAGTTGAGACTCACGAGCAGAGAGATGAAAGACTGCAGGCTAATAGAGATAGGTCTGCTGCTAGCAGGGCAGTTGAGCCTCCTGAGCAGAGAGATGAAAGACTGCAGGCTAATAGAGCTAGGTCTGCTGCTAGCAGGGCAGTTGAGACTCACGAGCAGAGAGATGAAAGACTGCAGGCTAATAGAGATAGGTCTGCTGCTAGCAGGGCAGTTGAGCCTCCCGAGCAGAGAGATGAAAGACTGCAGGCTAATAGAGCTAGGTCTGCTGCTAGCAGGGCAGTTGAGACTCACGAGCAGAGAGATGAAAGACTGCAGGCTAATAGAGATAGGTCTGCTGCTAGCAGGGCAGTTGAGCCTCCCGAGCAGAGAGATGAAAGACTGCAGGCTAATAGAGCTAGGTCTGCTGCTAGCAGGGCAGTTGAGACTCACGAGCAGAGAGATGAAAGACTGCAGGCTAATAGAGCTAGGTCTGCTGCTAGCAGGGCAGTTGAGACTCACGAGCAGAGAGATGAAAGACTGCAGGCTAATTGAGCCTCCTGAGCAGAGAGTCTGCTGCTAGCTAGGTCTGCTGCTAGTTGAGACTCCGAGCAGAGAGATGAAAGACTGCAGGCTAATAGAGCTAGGCCTGCTGCTAGCAGGGCAGTTGAGCCTCCCTGAGCAGAGAGATGAAAGACTGCAGGCTAATAGAGCTAGGTCTGCTGCTAGCAGGGCAGTTGAGACTCACGAGCAGAGAGAGATGAAAGACTGCAGGCTAATAGAGCTAGGTCTGCTGCTAGCAGGGCAGTTGAGCCTCCCGAGCAGAGAGATGAAAGACTGCAGGCTAATAGAGCTAGGTCTGCTGCTAGCAGGGCAGTTCAGACTCACGAGCAGAGAGATGAAAGACTGCAGGCTAATAGAGCTAGGTCTGCTGCTAGCAGGGCAGTTGAGACTCACGAGCAGAGAGATGAAAGACTGCAGGCTAATAGAGATAGGTCTGCTGCTAGCAGGGCAGTTGAGCCTCCCGAGCAGAGAGATGAAAGACTGCAGGCTAATAGAGCTAGGTCTGCTGCTAGCAGGGCAGTTGAGACTCCTGAGCAGAGAGATGAAAGACTGCGGGCTAATAGAGCTAGGTCTGCTGCTAGCAGGGCAGTTGAGCCTCCCGAGCAGAGAGATGAAAGACTGCAGGCTAATAGAGCTAGGTCTGCTGCTAGCAGGGCAGTTGAGCCTCCCGAGCAGAGAGATGAAAGACTGCAGGCTAATAGAGATAGGTCTGCTGCTAGCAGGGCAGTTGAGCCTCCCGAGCAGAGAGATGAAAGACTGCAGGCTAATAGAGCTAGGTCTGCTGCTAGCAGGGCAGTTGAGCCTCCCGAGCAGAGAGATGAAAGACTGCAGGCTAATAGAGCTAGGTCTGCTGCTAGCAGGGCAGTTGAGACTCACGAGGAAAGAGACGACAACTAGAATCCAATAGAGCAAGGTCTACTGCTAAGCAGAGTAGGAAAATGTCCTGAGCAAAGAGACGAAAGACTAGAAGCTGAGAGCTGTTCACAGATCAGCTGAAACGCGTGAACCAAGGCAAGAAAGAAAGGCAGCAGGTTAGCCGAACTAGGGAACGGAGAAGAGCTGCCCTTACCTGGGAACAGTGGCACCGTGTTGCCTTTAACTATCAACCAGCGAATGACTACGCTTCTGAAAAGAATGTGACAATATACTTTATGTCTAAAGTCTCTGGTAAATGTGAAACCAAGAAATTTGAAGGAGAAACTCTTGGAATGTGTTGTTTGAGTGGCAAAGTCAGGATTCCATTATTAGAAGATCCACTTTGAAGGTTCTTTTAGTCACCACTCAAGAGTCAAAACACTTTTTGGAAAACATTATGAAGTACAATTGTGCTTTTCAAATGATTTCATTCGGGACTAACATTATTAGGGAACGTGGTTTCGCGTCCACTTTTAAAGTGCAGAGTCAGGTGTTCCGTAGAATTGGATCCCTATGATCACTAAGAGATGAAGTGTCACGATTTCTTCAGTTATATTTTGTTGGCAACTTTCAAGAACAAGCGGCCAGGTGTAATTCTATTTCACCTGGCACCAGGCTTTAACTTACACTGATACTGCAAGAGATGATACATTGTCAAAATACCTATGTCAAAAGGTTTAAATATATCATTGAAAGTGCTCCTACTCACATCTTTAATGTGATCATTGATGCAGACAAGTGACCTACTGGACAGCACCCGGAAGGGTTTAATGAACCCTCTAGCAATGAAATAGCAGTGGTTCTCCATGGTGACCAACATAACATTGTTCAAAAGCGATGGGACAACACGCTTCAACGAATTAATGAGACACATAGATCTTATGATGCTCTTCAGTATCCTCTGTTATTTGTTAATGAGGAAGATAGATAGCATTTTGGTATTAAACATCGTAATCCAAGCAATACGGAGGATATGTTAAACAAAGAATTATCATGTAAAGGAATTCTATGCTCACCGTTTTATGACGCATCGCAACTCATTCAATCGTCTTCATCACTCTCGAGATCTCTTTCATCAATATGCATCAATATGGCTGCTAAAATGGAGTCTGAGAGGTTGTGTTTCATTAGAAACAATCAAAAGCAACTGCGATTGGATAATTATATTCATCTGAGAGATGCCATAAACAATGATGTAGCACCTGGTAATCTTGGGCAGCTCTGCATTCTGCCATCAAGTTTTACAGGAGGTCCTCGATTCATACATGAAAGGACACAGGATGTCATGACTTATCTACACCACTATGGAAGGTCAGATCTCTTTGTAACTTTTACATGCAACGCAAAGTGGAAAGTAATTAAAGACAAACTTTTTCTGTACCAAAAGGCCAAAGACAGACCCAACCTTGCCAGGGTCTTTCGCTGAAAGTTGGATAAGCTCATAGATCTGATTAAAAAGGGAAAAAACATTTGGGTCCGTAAAGTGTAACATGTACACAGTTGAGTGTTAAAAACACGGGGCTACAACATGCTCACATTCTGCTTTGGCTGGCAACAAAAATTCACTATAATGAAATTGACAGGATAATCTCAGCAGAGTTTCCAAATCCATCGATAGACAAGGAACTCTATGAACTTTTTAAAACGAACATGGTACATGGCACACGTCTGAAGAACAATGTATACTTGTCGGAGTTAACTCCTCCTTTCACTCCGTTAACCCTTTCACCAGGGGTCTCTCTTTCCTGGCTATAAATAGCCGCTGACCCTTAACCTCGATCACTTTTTTCCTTTTACGCCTGTGCACCAACACCTCGAGGTAAATTTCTCTTATTCCTAGAGGATTTCAACTATCAAACCTCGAAATGTAGTCGCTAACAAGAGAATAGCGTGGAAACACGCTTAGCACAATATACACACACGCACGCACACACAGAATATTCACACACGCACGCACATACAGAATATTCACACACACTTCGTCCTTTGTACTGTTTCCCTGTATTGTAACTTGTTATGAATATATATTTGTGTATACATATATTATCGGTCTTGTTTTGTTTGCTTTCTTTTCCTTCTTCTTTGGACTTAATCAAAGTCCAACCTTTTTATGTAGTTGGGTCTGGCGGGCAGGAGTATCTGAACCTTGCGTTTCTTCTACGCCTGACTTCTATCAACAACATGACAGCCACGCCATGAACCCTCAACAAACCGTAACCGCCACGGGCCCTCTACATACTCAAAGAAATTTCCCAAGAGATATCTTACGGAAACACAAACTCGTAATGACGGATACCCTTCTTACAGGCGTAAAAAACCGGATGATGGTGGGTTTTCAGTAAAGGCTGGACAACATGAAGTTGACAACCGGTGAATAGTACCCTATTGTCCCTTGTTGTTAATGTTGAGTTCTGCAACTCGCTGAAATCCATCAAGTACGTTTGCAAGTACGTCAACAACGGGTAAGACGTGACAATCTTTGGCATACAGGAGGAAAATAGCCGAGATGAAGTAACCAAGTATCAAATGAGCAAATACATCAGTAGTAGTGAGGCATATTGGTGCATGCTTGGTTTCCAACTACACGAAAGACACCAGACTATTGTGCAACTTGAAGTACATTTGGAAAACGGTCAACGGGTCTACTTCACTGAGGCAAATACTGTTCGGGTAGCACACACACCCAATGATACTACACTCATTTTTCTTCAAGCTGTGCCAAAATGATCTTTTTTCCTGCACACTTTTGTACCCCAAAGTGGCATCTTATAACGCCTGGAAAAGCAAAAGGGAATGGGTGCGTAGATTGAGAGCTCACAGTGTATCTGAGCATCTTGGTATTAAGTTTGATGAGTGTCTAGGTAGAGTGTACACTGTACATCTCAGCCAACATGAATGCATTTATCTTCGTCTCCTTCTTCATGAAGTCCGAGGCCCAACATCCTTCCAGGATCCTAAAAAGATAAACGGACTGGTTTATACGACCTACCGAAAAGCATGCTTGACTTGAGGTTTGCTTGAAGATGATGCCCGGTGGGATACAACAGTGGCTGAGGCTATGGTGTCAATCTCCTGCGAAGTAAGTGGTTCTGCCTCTCTATGTATAAAGATAACTTATCTGAAGTTTTTAAGCACCAAGCCCAACCAATTTCCAAGTATGAAAATAGATTTCTGTGATAAAATTTACAACAGGGCGTTAATCGTTTTAGAAAACAATATTGTTTCTATGGGAGGGAATGTGTTATCGAGTATATATGCACTGTATGTATTAACTCGCACATTACTCACTAGAAAAAAATTAACTGTCAATAACTTATTCTGGAATTCCTCACCTTAAAAATCAAATTTCTCCCCCCACATGAGGCGTGCGCCCCACTTTGGGAACCATGGATCTAAGGTAATAATAAAAATAAGGTAGATAAGTCCATGCATTGAATATTGCTGTCACGTGTGGTCTGGTACTTCTGCTATGTATTTAGAGATTCTTGTTAAAATCTAAAGAAAATTCTGCAATGTTATTGGTACTGGACTGGCATCTCGGCTTCAGTCACTTTACTACTTAGCATAACATAGCTTCCCCTGTGTCTTTTCTATAAATATTTTAATGGCAATTGTTCCTGTTGTGGGGCTCTCCCCTTTTTACATAAGATGGACTCGTCCAAACTATACTTATACTGACAGAGAGAATACCTGCTGTGGAGATACGTGGAGATATACGGAGACAGACACAGGGTGTTTTCAGAGAGTTATACAAGAGTCGAGAGAGAGAGAGAGAGAGAGAGAGAGAGAGAGAGAGAGAGAGAGATGATTACATATGAGACTTGTACATATACTTCCTACTAACCCGCATTCCTGGACTACTAATCTTCACTTCAAGTCTGTATTCTTACGTTTAATACACTTATTTTTCTATCTCAATTACTGGCGTTGTTTATTTATTTGTGCAGGATTCCATTCACGGAATCCACAACAGTCCCAATGAGCTTTCCTCTTTGGTACCTCGACGTTTCGAATTTAAGCGCAGTACTAGATTGGTAGCTACTCGAAATGATTGGATGTAACCGTGAGTTCTATGTTACCAGTTTCTTCTCCCGCACTTTGGAACACCATTTTTTTTCTCTGTCAACTTTGATCTTCAAAAGTTTATATGCAATCGTTATCTTCTGTCATCTTAATTCCTGTTCTTTTATTGTTCTCCCTGCTTCACAATGTTTTTACTTTTTTTCGTATTCTTTCACACTCAGTACCTCCCTTGCGTATAAGTGGCTTTATTACCTTGTTTGTGTTGAAATGAAAAACAAAAGGGAGAAAAAAATGTTTATATGAAAGTTGAATTTACTTTAGTTGATAAAGTTAAAAAATATCCTTGTTAAAGAGTTACAGCCAAAGTTCACACGCTGTTATTAATGTTCTGACCGGTCATGAATCAATAGGTCTGTTGTGGATTGTACTGATGATATATCGGCCTTGTCTGAATATACTGTTTATATATATATATATATATATACATATATGTAATTTTGTTTGGGGTTTAAAAAGACATCATCAGCCCCACAACTGAAATATATAAATTACAAACAAATCTGTCTATATTTTTTAGATGAGATATTATATACACTATTTACATTATTCGGACTATTGTCCTAATTTTTGTCGCCATATTTATTACAACGTTTCGGCCGTTGTACGCTCCGGCCTTCTTCTGCGGAAAGAAATATAAAGGGGAGACAGGCCGCCCCATTAAGGTAAGGCATCAAGAACACCAGAAAGCTGTAACACGAGGGGAAGTGGAAAAATCAGGCGTGGCTGACCACATATGGAGAGAAATGGGAGATCGCCGCTCTCTGTGGGATCAGGTTGATATCATAGACAAAGAATACCGTTGGAAAATTCGTAAACTTAAGGAATCAGCACATATGCTAGGTCACAAAAATCTCCTGAGCCGACCAAGCATAGAAATGAATACAATATGGGAACCAGTAATAAGGAGTCCCAGAGAAAAGCGATAATAACAACAAAAATTGCAATATGAGCTCTGGTAAAAACATTAGATTTATAATACTCAGAAATTCATACACAGATGTCCTCAAGGACACATGACACAGTGGATAAAGGCGTTAGTTAGATCCAGTGACAGGACCCAAAGAGTTTGAGTTCAATACGCGGTTAAGTATAGTTAAGTGGAGAAGTTGGAGAGGGGAATTAACAGGAGATAACTGACATCCATTAAACATGGCACATGGAACTAGAACAGTCTACTCCAGTGAGCGAAATATGAAGTTCAGTTTGAGCATTCCAACTACCTGAAAAAGACCAGAGCGTACAACAGCGGAAACGTTGTAATAAATATGGCGACAAAGATGAGTCCGAATAATGTAAATAGTGTACAAACAAATCTTATATAAGATACAACGCAATAAACTTAAACAAAGCATAGTCGCAAAGCGTCTGCTGTCGAATAAGGAGTGTCAAATGAAGAATTATGGTAGCAGCGATGTGTCTTCGAGGAAGACTTGGTCTGTGTCTGCTTGCTGGTGGTTTCAGAAGAACAAATTCTCGGTTTTTAGTTCTGGCTTGTTGTCCGGAGTTTGGGTTGGCTATATGAATTTACAGAGTTTAAAGTTCTTGTTCTCAGCTGAAAATATTAGTATGCTTGACGTCCATCCGTGTGATTAATCCTTGATGTGGTGTGAATAAACAGTACTTTTAATCGACTGACAACCTTGTTTATATATAGAGCAGCTGGCCCACGAAGGTATCTTTTCAAATTATCGCAGGCCTCAAATTGATGGAAAATAATTCAAAGGA